CAGCAGGCAACCCATACAAATACACAAGAGCATGCTGCTGGGCTGCATCATCACTACTACTACTACTAGAGACCGTTACTACTAAGCACCACCACGGCTTGCCAGCCAGCACCAATAGTTGTGTATTACTACAGCAGCAGTTCCTAGCAGCTACCTGTGTGTCTGTGCTCCCGTTAGGAACCGCAGAGCAGCGTCGATCTACCCTCTCCTCCACCCATGGTCATCAACAGGTACAACCACACAACACAGGCGCGCACGTTACATAAGGCATCGACATCACACCACCAGTTAGTTGCTGCACGTATCTCTCTCTGCCTCCCTTTGTGCTCGATTTCACAGCCTCTCTCGACTGCTCAAAATTGCTGCTGGGGCACGGAACAGCTGCATGCCCTGTATCTACAAATTCTTAAACCACGGGGGGGGGGGGTCGCGACACCTCCGGACATATATCTGGCTTAGCCTCACTTCTTTGTGCCCTGGGCTGCGGGAGGCGCGTCCCCGGAAAACCAAAACGCCAAACTACTTCACACTAGCGTTCAATACACCCACCAGGCACAGCACTAAGTTTTGCATAGAAACATAGAAACACAGCAGGCGACCCATCTGTTGCTGCTGGGCTGCATGTCTGCTACTGGAACCAACGCAGACGATTGCTATGCCATGAGATATACAGCAGTACCACGTGGTTGCCCGCGCAGCAACCACTCTATCACGTTATTCACACCGTCTGTTACGGAAAGTGAGAGTGCGCGTGTGGGCTGGGGGAAAGCACTTTGATGGTCAGCGGACCCGCTTTGAGTTCGGTCCCCTCTACATCTGCGGTTTTTGCCCCTCAACCAAATAATCCGTCCTCCCTATCTCCCTGAGAAGATGGAGGAAAAAATGATAAAATATATATTTTAATATAAAGGAGTATAATGCGAGAAGGCGTGGATGGAAATCCAACCTGGGAGGCGTTAGCGTTGCCTTGATATGTACCACGACCACCCTCTACTGTTATGTTTTACATAGAGCCTGGTTTTGCCTCCTGGGGACGAAGGGAAAAATGTCGCGCTTCGCGCTCCGCGGCTCATTAAAAATCGAGTCTACTGCTAGAACCGGCACTTCTGATAACACCCTCAAATAGTGCCGGTATTGGCATGTACATTCACAATATAATACATGTGTCGTCCCTCTGAATCTCTTCTTAGAGCCGGTTTCTTCGTGGGTCATATTGCCGTATTGCGGTGCACTGTGAATCCAGTCATTGTTGCTCGGCACGGTTTCGGACGAAAATAATGTCGAAATCATGGAACCACGAAGGGGTTACGTGGATGAGAACAGATGATGTACAACAAAGGCTTGGAGAGAGCGCCCACTCGTGACAAGCCTCCCCAACCCTTACGGAGGAAAAGTACGGTAAAGAATAACAGTAGGCTACCATGCAGCTGAGCGCGACTCAGCTGAGCGCGACTCAGCTGGCCGCGGCCGCGTCGGCCCCTGCGGGGAAGGCCGTCAAAAAGTTGGTGTGTTTCGATACGAGCTCGGCCATTGGGGCCCTCCCGACACTGGCACTCGCGCGAGTCAGCACCAGCGAGGGCGCTTCTCTGGAAGGGAAGGACAAGATTGCTCTGTTCACCGTGTGCTGCCATTGGTGCTGGCGCTGGGGAAGGGTACACAGGAGACGATGGAGGATTTCCTGCGCGGCGCGGAGACCCAGGAGCACGGATCGACAAGCGCGATAGCGGCCAGGAAAGCTTTCGGAGCGCGGGCATTCATGGGGAGAGGTGCTCGAGGTGCTGCGGGATTTCGTCAAAGCGACGGACACGTACGTAGTCCTGCCGGCTCTGCCATCGTCGGGCAAAGCTCCCGCTCTCGAGTCCGGGGCGGCTCAGCCGGCCCCAACTCCGGAGGCGGCGGCGGCTCCCGCGGCGGCGGCTGCTGTCCCAGTGGCAGCGGTCATTCCGGCGGCGGCGGCGGCCCCAGCGGAACCGGCAGCAGCTTCGGCATCCGCGGCACCCGCCCCCGCGGCGACGCCCGCAACGGCGGGAGCGCCAAGCTCGGCGATCGCAACAGCCCAGCAGCAGCAGGCAGCCAACCACCAGGTCATGATGTCGGCGGACGAAGCGCACATGAACGTGGTGCAGGCGGAAGCAGGCCACGCGGAGGTGAGGGTTACAGTCCCCGTTGCTGACTGTCTCGCGGTGTGCTCTTGTGAACAAAAAACCTAATCTTCGCCAAACTTTCGTCGCCCGTTCTAATTCCAAGACGATCCTGATCCCGTCGAGGATCATCGACGTGTTTGAGTAGTATGTACTTCCGCGCATTGTTTGAGTAATACTCCAACATGTCCGATCCTTCGCGTCAAAATTCCTTGGACGTTTTCGACGATCGTCATGCCTTTATCACTCCGGTCACCGCCGAAATTGCAACGGGAAGGTTTCATGCGCATTAATACTATTGTTATGCTCCTTGGATATCCCACGCGGACCGGTGATACGACGTAGGAACGACGGTCGTAACTTCAAAGGAAATAACTGTCGGTGGTCTGGCAGTTGGGACTGCTGTGCAGGACGTACGATACAAGTGGTCAAGGGCCGCGAATACGTGACATGGGGGTTCTCTGCAATTGTTGACCGTCTACGCGTATCGCCTCGCGATGGGGCGTACCACCCATCAAGTGTTTAACGTGTGCGTGCATCACCCTGGACATGCTTTCAATGGATCGTGGCGCCTCACGAAGATCACATGTCAGCGTACCTTTTCCTCCATCTACCTTTGAAATAATTTCTTTGATATTGCGCCTTTCACATGCTGCATACCGAGCACCACAGGCCTCAACGCTGCGATATAGGTCCACGAACAGTCACAACGAGTGCAGGTTATTGCTGCCCCACGAAACGACTGATCATCGAGAGCTTGTAGATGTCCTTAACATTTCGCGCGTACGTGGATAGGGAGATGCGTGCTCTCGGGCCATACGTACGTTCCCGTTTGTGGGCGATATTGCGATACGACTACAGGGGTTGCTGTCGATACGATTCGCTGGCTAGAGTTTTGGGGAGCCATTTCGCTGGCAATCCTCGATGCCATGTGCCTCGGGATGTGTGTTTCGAGCCGACTCGTCTCCGTCTCCGATACGAGGAGCTTGCATTGCTTTTGACGCCGTTTCGTGGTACGTCCTCGATACCATGTGTTTTCGGGATGCGTGCTTTCGAGCCATCCGTCTGTTTCGATTTACGACGTCCTCGATACAACATACGATGCGTTTTCGGGATGCGTGCTTTCGAGCCATCCGTCTGTTTCGATTTACGACGTCCTCGATACAACCCTGTCCCGTTCTCGATACGAGGGGCGGGCGATGGCTTGGGAAGCCATTTCGTAAGCCGTCCTCGATACGATGTGCTTCGGGATTCGTGCTTTCGAGCCATCCGTTCGTTTTTCAATTTACGATGTAGCAGCGAAACGTTTGGCCCCACGTGGTTAGCTGTCCTTGATGCGATCGCGGCTGACGACACGGCGGGGGCAGCCCTCGGTGCAATTTCGTTTCCACACAGGTTCGTAGCTCGTTTCTGAAGGTCCTTCGGGTTACGCGGAATGCCGGTCGGGTGTCTTCGTGGCATGACTTGCGAGGCGCCCTCGTAGAGGCCCACACCATCATGGTAGCCGTGGGGGAATCGGCCGGCGACATTAAGATAATCTCAGATATGGTAGCCAGGGGCGACCGCCTGGTAGTAGCGCTGNGGCCGGCGACATAAAGATAATCTCGGATACGATAGCCAGGGGCGACCACCTGGTAATAGCGCTTGGACCGACGCACGGCGCGAGGGCGGCGACCGATGTGTTGGACATGTTTACGGGTCTGCTACCAAATGCTCACGGGGTCTCCAACGATCTGTTTTCAGCGGACTATGTGCGTATACGCAAGAAGTCGGCTCCGGTCGCGGGCATGAACGCCGCCATGGGGACGGCGCTCGGCCTCCCCGTCGTACCCGCGCCATTCCCGACGTTCGGACCGGGGGGGGGAGCTTTCGGCATCCACCCTTACCCGCTTCCCCTGCAGATGGCGCTGCAGCCGGGGATCCAGCAGCAGGCCCCGCGTCTATCTCGTCGGCAGGCACGATCGCAAGGCGCGTCACATGGGGTGGCCGGACACTATACCCAAGGGCCGCCCGGTTGGGGCGGGGGCGGCCGGGGGCAAGTAGCGGGGGGCGCAGTGACGGCAGTACCGTCCCCCGGAGGGTCCGCTAGCCACCAACAAATGCTAGCCGACGTGCGTAACCAACGCAACCTCGCCCTGCAGCAAAGGCAACTGGCGAACCCGGGGGTGCCCGGGCAGGGCGAGACGTGCCACAAGTGCCGGGCCGCCAACCGTGATCCGAACCACTCTCACCTCACATGTGCCTTCTGGATATGCGGCAATTGCAAGGAGGCAGGGCATCGCAGGGCGGCCTGCCCGAACCCGACCGTGCCGTGAACGAGCCGTAGCGTACGCAAAAGAAGGAGTTTGGGAGGGACACGGTTGCAATTTACGAACGGGGGGGGGGGAATACTCGAGCGTTGCGCGCGGTTGGATTTGTTTCGCGGGTTCGAGATAGTATTTCGTATTTCGATAAGACGATGCGTGTGGTACCCGTCGGATCACCATATCCCGTTCGCGGTTCGCATCATTTTTCAATGCATGTCAGTATAACATTGGCGCAACATGAGCGCTGACCCACGCAGTGCGTTCCTTCGATCGCACGGGATCGAGAAATAACACGAGGATAACAGGTGATATCCCGGCGGTGCGTTCTTCGATCGGCTGTCGGCGGGAAATCAATCCATTCTACAGCAGTTTAATCCTATATTCTCATACATGACCTCATGATAATAACACGAACACCATTGATTCCCCGCGGGGCGCCTGGATCGCCCGCGAGCGAGAAAAACAAGAGAGTAGCATATAACGACCTCTGCCTTACGAGGGCATCGGCTGATATATCTGACGCAGTTTAATCCTCCATCTTTGTAGACCGTGAATCACATAAGGGAGAATAAATGTCCATGTATCACTGCAAAATAATCAGACCGGAGCGTCGTTGTGCTGCTCTCCTTGCGTCCGCCATGCATCTCGGTGGGTCCGCCTGGTCACAGTACATCGTAGCTACGTTTGCTTTCCTACCACGGATCCTAGCTAACACTCGTGTCAACGAATCCCTTATCTTCCCGCTAAGCGGTACCCTTTATCATAGAGTGAAACTACAGGCGTATACCGGCGAAACCTGTTCCACGTCTCACTACGTAGGTATTGGCTGATTGATGATTGGCTGAAGAACCTCGCGCAACGACATGCGCAAGTAAGAATAACGTTCCCCGACGTCCCCGGCCTGTCCGGCGAACAACGCGAATGGGCGGGGCCACGTTTGACGCCAAGAGTAGCCCGCGAGCCAACGATGGCAGAAGTAGAGCGACCACCGAACGGGGACGGAAACACCCGTCTGCCGTGGACCGCTCCGGTGAGAGACGCTGGCGAGAACGGGAAACATTTCGTACCGGAGGGGATTAACCACAACCGTGAACTTTGGGACAAGGTTATCCTACGAGACCATCCCCAGCGCGATCAATTCATGTCATATATTCGGGACGGTGTCAGCGTCTTCGAATTCCTCCACGATGAGTACCGAGGGAAGTCGCGTAAGGAACCATATCGCCCAGCAGCGTTTCCGGGAGCCGAATTCCCCAACGACATACCAGACGAACATGCGGAATTCGTGCGGCGAGAGGTGCAAGCGCTGGAAAAGCGGGGATGTTTAGTTCGGTGGGAGGACGTCCGAGGACCGGGGGGGGCGGATAGACCGCGGTTGATCCTGTCCATTTCGGTGGAGCCAAGGAGTCCAACAAACCCCGTATGATTATCAACGGTATCCCCCTCAATACCTGGTGCAAACACGTACCGTCTACGATGGACACGGTCTCACGGGTGGCACACGTCAGAAGAAGGGGTGTTCACGGGGAGCTTAGACGACCGCGCAGGTTTCCATAATCTATGCTCGCAGCCTGAGAGCTGGCCGCTATTCGGCGTACACTACGATGGAGTGGATTACGTCTGCACCGCCCTTCCGTTTGGGTGGAACGAGAGTCCATATTGTTGCCATTCTTCGAGCGAAGCCAAAGCCGCGTACCTGCGGTCTAAGAGCATCCCCGTCCTGGCGTATATCGATGACGCCTGGCACGCGAACTTCGTCGCTACCTTCAGGAAGTCGGATCGAGTACAGTGGCTGTCGGAGGCGGAAGCTCTACACACCGGTATCCTAGTATCGTACCGATGCGGATATTTTCTGTCCATCAATAAATGCGACCTCAATCCCTCTCAACAACAGCAGTATCTCGGAGTTATCTGCGATTCCCATACCGCATCGTTCCGCATCCCGGAGAATAAGTTGCTCAAACTCCAGCAGCTCATCGACCAAGCGCTTGCGAACGACTCCTTGCCCGTGCGAACGCTCGAGAAGATAGCGGGCAAGTGTGTCAGCATGTCGGTCGCGATTCGGCCGGCCTCTCTTTGGACTCACCACATGTTCGCGGCGATCAGGAAGGCTAAGGGTCGGACCATTCAGTTGAGGGGCAAACACAACCTCCGCGCGGAGCTACGCATTTGGCGCACCCTGTCATCGACCGCTCAGGTGGGACCGTGATATAAAGCGAGACGCTACGACGTCTCTCTCACCACCGCTTCGTCGGATGCATCATCCAACCAATATGGTGGAATAGTGTCGCTGCCGAGTGGCGCATTCTCCGTAGGCGGCGGCTTCCCCCACGAATGGCTGTCGCGTTCCCTTAATGGCAAGGAGATGTTCGCGTTGCTCGAGGTGCTGAAGGAGTGTTGTAGCGCTCGCCTGGGCGAACTTGAGCGAGCACAAGTCTTGATGAATGTCGACAATAGAGCGGTCGTCGACGCGTTTAGGGAGGGCAGATCGAGTAACCCCATTGCACACTCGATACTGGTTAGCCTTTACGAGCTGCATATCGAACACGGATTTTGGCTCACATTGAGGTGGGTACCGTCAGCGGCGAATAGCGTCGCCGACGACATCACACGACCAGCCCGGCACGAATTTATCCGCTTCGATCACGTGTGTTTGAGCAGCTGCGCGCGTTTTTCGGAGAATTTACGATCGATCTTATGGCGTCTTCCGAGAATGCTCAGTGTACCGATGCGGGGGGAGCCGGGGGCCCATCCCGTCTGCCGTTTTTCTCACGGTATCACTGCGAAGGCACGGCCGGAGTGGACATCATTAGCCAGGATGTAGCAATTACACCAGGGCTGGGCACGCCGGCCTTCGGGTATTGTTGCCCGCCGCCTGTCATGCCCCGGTCGCCCCGGTGGTCTAGTGGTATCCTCGTAATCCGCTAGTCGCAGAAGTCGTGAGTTCGAACCCCCATGGGGTGAAAAATTTACGAGATTTGCGGGTGAAAGCGAAATATAGCTAAAAAGCTCTCATGAGTACGACGTTAGCACCGTTGACGAGGGAAAGGGACGGCTGGACCCTTCTCGCGATAAAAATAAAATTCAGCACGCACCGCAGGAGGAAGGTGGGGCATGAAAAGAAATAAAAAGAAGAAAAAAGCCCTGGTGTTTACCCCCTCGTGTGTGACCCTGGATGGTTGTAGTTGTACGAAAAAATACACTGAAAAGTGTAGTGCTCTACACACATACGCTGAAAAGTGTAGCACACGTCTCACCACGAAAAATGGGGGGACTGTCGCCATAACAAATAGGACGAAAACACACAACACACACACATGGCGGGGCACATTATTCAACATCTGTCCGAGTGTCGAGCTCACGCAGTGGTTCTAGTGCCAGATGTACGAGATTTTTGGTGGCCACGGTCCGCACGGGCCGCCGTCAAATCGCTAGTGTTACCGAGGACGGGGAGTTTTGGATACCCCCACCATCAAGACGGCGTTCGCGATTACACTTATGTACGACACGGAATGCGAGCGGTGGAATTGGATTTTCGCGATAAATGATACGGTGATTATAGTCGCCCCTCCCCTTATTCGTGTTCGCTTCGCCGTGCCTGTACTGTCATCAGCATCATGCGGCGGGGACCCTCGAGCGGGTTCCCTCCGGATCCACTCGAGTACAGGACCGGATACCGCAAGAATTGTGTAGTACGTGTGGGGCCCAGAACGATGCCACATTGAACTTCTGCCAACACTGTGGTACTCCACCGTTTCGGGGGCTTTAGAACCTCGGGCGCCCGGGGCGACCGTGGTCATCGATAAAACCCGATTGGCCGAGCGGAAAGAGACCGTCTTAGCATCGCTGAGTAGTAAGGCCAGTCAGCAACGCAAATGCACGGCGGCGGACAAGTTTGAAGCATCGCTGAGTAGTAAGGCCAGTCAGCAACGCAAATGCACGGCGGCGGACAAGTTTGACTCATTTCTCCGAGCGCACACGAACGGTATGCGGGGATGGGAAAGTGCTACTGATGTCGACGTGCAGGATTGGCTCTGCTGGCTAGATTCTCATGGCAACGGTACGAAGGTGGTTCATGCGGTAGACTGCCCCGAGATCGGGTCCAATTCAATGGCAGCGTGCAGCAAGGAGAGTACCTGCGCTAAACGGTACGCTGCTCAACCACTGGACAAGGCATTTGTGTCGAAACTCAAGCGTGCGATGTCTGAGATTTTGGGGAAGTCGGACCCATGGGACGAGCGTGAGAAGAGAGGTTACACAGCCAACGGCACGGCGGTTCGGAAGTACCTGTCGTGGGTTCAAGTAGAACAGCGCAGGGTGGGGGTTACCGTCAAGCAAGCCCGACCGATGCTAGCCCCGCTACTTGTGCGTCTTGTGCGATACATGCGATACACGCGCAACACCGCGAGCCACTTGTACACGGTGGGCGAGCGGGTGGCCCGCAGCCGAGATATCGCGTTGTTCGTCACCGCCTTTCACACGATGCAACGAGGATTCGATTTGGCGTACGCTTTGGCGGCACAGGTCTTGCACCTTCCGGATGGGACGGGGATGATTTTCAATTATCATTTCGGCAAGACTCTACGAAGCTCGTCGCACGCGGTAGTAGTTCGACGAGATCGCCAATGTACCGAGCTATGCCCGCTGCGGGCGATACAAGAGTTTTGCATCGCAGCCAAGTCAGCAGGATGGAACATGCGTGAGGGGTACCTATTCCCCGAGGTCAACGCCGACGGCTCGCGGGGGTCGTTACAGTGGTCAGCGGCGCGTATGACCGCCTCGCTACAAGCTCATGTTTGGAACGGCCGCCTGGGCGATGCAGGTGGTCAGTATACCATGCGCTCGTTTCGGGTAGGAGGAGCGGTAAGCCAAACGCTAGCGGGGACGGCGGTAGACGCCCTTATGGATTTTGTGGGATGGGAGACGCGAGGGGTTGCACAGCGATATGTATGGCCCACGACCCAAGGGGGAGAGGTCGTCGTTAAGCGAAGGCGAGTCCAGAGCCAACAGGAGGAGGAACGGTTGTACATGGAGACCATCAACCTCCCGTTGCAGGAAGGCTTTACGGAACGTGTTTCGGCTTTCGGATAATGGGAAGCCATGAGTCACGGTAGCGGGGTCGTCGATGGAGAAGAATAGGGATCAATTAAGGCCACGACAGGGAATAATGACACAGGTGAAAACATGAAGTATGGGTGGGTCCCATGCCGTGGCAGGAGGCCTCATTTCATCCCACACTCTACATCGTCGACAGCTATTCCGCAGTAAAATGATGTCGAAATCATGGAACCGCGATGGGGCTACGTGGATGCGAACAGATGATCTGC